GCTCTCTTCAGTGCCTTTTACACTAAACAAGGTATTTGAGAATGCACCAAGGAAAACAGGCTGGATATGGCAAGGTTAAGAGGTGCCTGAAAACTATTTTCATGCCATTCTGTCTGTTCTGAAATACCAATGGATTGTAATTCTTTGGTTTTACTAGAACAGGTGGAATAATTCCTGTGGTGGCACAGCAGCTTCACAGAGAAAACATCGAGCAAGTGGTGGAAGAGGCGCTTCGTGTCAGTGGCGTTTCTGTACCTGAGCTTGCAGCTGTTGCAACTACAGTGAAACCTGGACTTGCTCTAAGCCTTGGGGTGGGGCTGAAGTACAGCCTGGCCTTGGTGAACAGGCACCAGAAGCCGTTCATACCCATCCATCACATGGAGGCTCACGCGCTGACCGTCAGGCTCACACATCACCTGGAATTTCCCTTCTTAGTTCTTTTGGTCTCTGGAGGCCACTGTCTCTTGGCAGTAGCACAAGGAGTGTCAGATTTCCTTCTGCTTGGACAGTCCATAGATATTGCACCAGGTGACATGCTGGATAAGGTAGTATTTCCTTACATAAGTGAACCTAGTTTTTTCTTCTTTTTACTGCATTTGTACTACATAATGGTAGTAGTATCATCAGCCCAAGGACAGTAATTCAGTGTAATGTGAGCTTTACTTAACAGGGTTTTTCTCTATCTTGAACAGACACGAGAGTCTGTTAAAAATGTACACATAACATCAATTGTAACATATGTACATTGATTATGTTTTTAGTAATAGGCAGACTAACAACTGAAACTGGTGTTGAAAGTTCATTGACCAGTTATACAAGTTGTATGAATTTGAGAAGATTGACAGTGCTATTTTAAAGGATGCTGTCAGGTTTAAAACAATACATATTAAAACATTTCTAATACTAGTTTTATTGCTTACAGTTTGAAAAGCTTACAGTTTGGCTTTCAGAATCTTAAGTTTTCTGGGTGACTGACTACAGTCTGTAAAATTGGTCACTTAAAGAGTTTTGTTCTCAGACTTTTAAATAGTATTTGCGCACACTAAGTAAAAAATTGGGAGAGTCAGAAAGGGGACTGTCTAAAGTTGAAACCAACTTTGTTCTTGTGTATCTGGCAGTACAATATGGCCATCTGTGTGTGTTTCCTATAGCTGGAAAATGGGAGTAACTAATGTGTCCTGCAAAATTTGTTGATCCTCATGTTTGCCCAAATTGTTCTAGAACTGCATTTCTAAATACTTCAGGAAAAAAAAAAATCCAGCTGGTGTTAACGTCTTGTGCTTGCTGTGCCCTGTTTGTAGGTTCACACTGGATTGCTTTTTGAGGTGTCCAGATTTATTCCATGGACTCCTATACAGTGGTGCAGTTACAGGAGGAACTGATTTCAAGTCTGGTGTTTATTATCTCCTCAGGTGGCAAGAAGACTGTCTTTAAGAAAGCACCCAGAGTGCCACAGCATGGCTGGGGGGCAGGCGATAGAGCACTTGGCTCAGACTGGAAACCAGGAACAGGTCGTGTTCCGACTGCCCATGAAACAGTATCGCAACTGCAACTTCTCTTTTTCCGGCCTCCTGAACCTTGTCAAGAATGCCATTGCACAAAAAGAAAAAGAAGAAGGTATTTTTAAACAGTCAGGTGTAAACCACGTTTCTGATGACCCACACTCAGGAAAGCCCCTTTGACCGTACATTTTTGCAGGTATTCAGGAGGGTGAGATCCTGTCCTGCGTTGAGGATGTTGCCGCTGCCGTCCAGCACGCGGTGGCCGTTCACATCATGCAGCGCACCTATCGGGCCATGCTGTTCTGCACGAAAAACAGCATCTTACCACCACAAAACGCAACCTTGGTGGGTATGCTTCTTCTTCCTTTTTCTGTTTGACTATATAACATCATCTGAAGATGCAGATGCCTTGTTGTACTTTCTGCCTTGACAGGTGAGGAAGATCTCAGTATGCATTACGTTGTTAAAATACCAGGATTGAAGTAACAGTGATATAAATATTTACAATATTTCTAGTTGTAATGTCGACTATAATAGATAGTTGGATTTAAGCTAGAAAGGTATTTTCTTACCATCTAATTTAACCTCCCATAACAACTTAGGCCACACAATTTGACTTTGTGCTCCACAATACTGATGGCTGTTCTAGCTCCACTGGAACCACAGACTGGTTTGGGTTGGAAGGGACCTTTAAGATCATCTAGTTCCAACTTTCCTTCTACTAAACTGCCTTGCTTTTATTCAGGAATGTCTTTTAGCATCTCTTCTGATATGTTTTAATCTTCAAATGCATTATTTATTGCTGTCTTCAGGACTGATAACTGCTTTTTTAAACAGGATGCTAGCTGAAAGTCACCCATCAGTACTTTGGAGTTAATGCCCTTTTTTTGTCACTGCTGTCAGGTTGTATCAGGAGGAGTTGCAAGTAACCAGTATATCCGAAAAGGTTTACAGAATTTGGCAGATGCAAATGATTTTGCTTTACTGTGTCCTCCTCCAAGACTGTGCACTGATAACGGTGTTATGATTGCATGGTAAGGGTTGTTTCTCTTTGTTATGTGCTTCTATAATGTTCTTTAAAAGCTGACATCAGAGTCAAGAACTTCTTTTCGTGGTGACTGAACCACGTGCCATGTTCAGAGAGTAATGACAAGTATTTTATGTAACTGCTTTCTTGCTCAGGAACGGCATTGAAAGGTTACGTGCAGGACTTGGTGTTCTGCACAGGACCGATGACATCCGCTACGAACCCAAGTAAGTGACTGCTCACTCCCAGTCTGTTCCCTCAGGATTCACTGTGGGCAGTGAAAGGGGAAGGAGGTTGCACTAAAAAGTGGCAGAAGCAGCTGAGAAGTGTCTTTGCAACACTTATAGAAGTTATTGTTCAACATAGCTGTGAAATACAAATGATCATTTATGTTTGGTTTGGCTCAGAAACTTAAATTACCACACATCATAACAATTCTGAGTGTTTTCCTACTACCACTGTGGTACAGGAAAACTGGAGCCAGCTAAGCTGCAATACTCTCCTTTAGCTTCTCAGTCACCACAGGCATAAGTCAGCATGCTCCAAGTCCAACTGTGTATTCATAATAAGCAATCAATTAAAAAAAGAATTTAACATATATCATCTGATGAATACTTTTTTTTTTCTTTTTTTTACTAATAATACTGATTTTTTTAACAACCAGTCAGGTAACACTTGCTCTATGGATTAAGGCCAAACAAAATTCTAGTATTTCAAAATTACCAGCTCGTCTTAAACTTGGGCTTTTTCTCAGGTTTTTTTCCCTTTCCATTTTCAGGAAAACAGACTTGGATGGTCTCAGTACAAAAAAAAAAAAAGTATTATAATTTTCACATTAAAAATTATAAAATACTCTTCTTCAAAAATAACTTGCTGTATATATATCAGTGAATGAAATACTAAGTTTCACTTGCTGTAGAAAATACATTATTTAAGATTATCGTGGAAAAAGATATCTGTAAATTTGTAGTGCGTTTTGCATTCATCAGTTGCATGTAAATGGAGTTTAGTTGCAAAGCAACTAAAATCAGAATCTAACGACATCCCCAAAAGATGGCTTTGAAACCACAACTGTGTTTCCTGAGTTTGGAATCGCTAGAAATGCAAATATTTCTTCAGTGTAAAGATGTGTTTAAGTACAGCTTCAGACAGACCATTTTAATGGTCACACAGTGTAGGGAATGTGCAAAAATACTGTGACTCTACTTGTACAAAGGGTCTGTGAAGCTGTACATCTGTGTGATATGGAAATGATGTTATTTATTTTTAACAGACATAATTTTATTTTCTAGAGCTCCCCTTGGAATTGATATTTCAAAAAGAGTTGAAGAAGATTCCATCAAGGTGCCAAAATTAAAACAGATACGATGGTTGGCATCTTAAAGAGTAACTTACTTAGTAAATGCAAATATAAATTGTTCAATAAAAACTGGTGCAGTGCTGTTATGTTTACTGATAGTACTTAGTTTACTAGTGTTGAAAATCACCTGTCAGAGAAACAAATGCCGTGTCCTATCACCAAAGTGATTCCATTTACCATTCCACAACTAAGCGTTGTTGGTATTAAAACAACTAAAAAAATACATAAAAGTGCACTTTCTAATAAACACAAAGAAGTTCAGTAAAGCTAATCACAATGCAATCTTTCCATACACAAAAAGACAAGCTAACTCAAGCTTCTCTTCAGATTAAGTCCATTCATATACCTATTTCAACCCCATGATTGCATCCACATACTCACCCAGAGTGCCTTTTTTTTTTTTTTTTTAAGGGAGACTTTTTTTTTAATTTGTTTAAATGAGATCTTCCTTGAAGGACACAATTAGAAGAAAAAGTGACAGAGCTAAAGCTAAAATGAGAGACAGCAAGCTAGGGAGTCAACATTGGACTAAGAAGAGCCTGGAGGGAACTTCCCAGTTTCTCTGGGAACAGAGGGAGTGCCAGGCTGGGACTGCCAACCAACCCATCCCTGCAGAACTGGCCTAAGACAGGGAGGTTGTACAGGATGGCCCCAAAACACCCAGGGTATGTGTGTGTGATCTCTGTTTTCTGATGTCTGATGATGCCTGGATGGCAGATCTCCCAAGAGCTGACAAGACCCCAGACCTTCAGCTCTTTTTGGCTCTGGCAACCCAGGCCAGCTCCTCACCATGCTCTCCCTTCCAGAACCATAACCCAAACCTTCCCCTAAAGCATGGCTGCAGGATTAGCCCTGTTCTACCACAAAGCAATGCACTGAATTCAGTATATGTGACAAACTGGACAGATTCAATATGCTTTTGGCAACACTGACATCAGGAAGGGTGGGAAAGCCAACTTCTGGCTATCTTATCTTCCCCAAAGCCCAGTATTCCCTTCCCCCCAGGGATGCATTCATAGTGAGTCTCTAGTAAAAGTACACATCTACATGTATTACCTTGATGATTAATAATAGGAATGTCCAAGTGTGTAAAAAACCCAGACCAAGCATTCTAAGAAAACTCCAAAGCTTTACTGCATTTGCAAACAGACTAGATGTATCTCAAGATGTACTTCTATAATTCACCTACTGAAAATAACTTCAGCCTGCTGCATGTGTCAGATGCTTTTTCCCTGTGGCTCTCCAGTTTTGCAATCCGAGATCCAAACTGTACGGCCCTTTTTGGCAGAACAGCGGAGGCTGTGAGGCCCAGCTCCTTGGCTGCAAGGCGCAGGATCAGCTTCTCACCCATTCCTCGAGGGAGAGTCAAGTCAGCTTTTTCTGAGACAGGCAGAGAATTGAGGAATGAAACAACATCTTCATCAAGAAAAGGAAACCTGAAAGAAAGGTACCCGTGGGAAAAGACCCTTTAAAAACTTCATACGGATGGTTTTGGTTTTCCCCTTTACCACATGCAAAGATTTCAGACTCTGTATCAATTCCTAACCATAGATGTACCTTAAATCTTAGTGTCACAATATTGAGACATTTCTCCAAAGCAGTTACACTGTCCTGGAGAAAGAAACCCCATAATATATCATGTTTACACTCAGAAGCCTGGAAGTTTTCAAAAATCAAGCAAAGAGAACAGTAAAAACAAGGATCAGAAATGGTGGGTTTACACAGAAGAAAAATCACAGAAAAGATCAGAAACTACGATGGAAGAGCAATACAAATCTTTAAGTAACACTTCTCAAGATAGCTACACTGTAACTTTGAACCAAAAATATTTACACAACAAATTCTGACCATTCTGAGTTCCAGGCATTCATACCTAATCCTATGCACGATTAACAGCATTGCCTGTCCACCACTGCAACTGCTCTTGTGCCACACTGAAAATGTGCAACTAAGAACAAATTTGGAAAAACACTGGCACTGACATCACAGGAGAAACCCTTTCATGCACCTGAGTGGCCTCTGCTACTTGACATCAACTAAGGAATTTTTTGCAAGTTGGTGGTAGCATGGAGGAAGTAAACACAAATAAAAGGATTTTCTAACTATATGGACTTAACACTCAGTGGATATTGTCATGGAGTTACTGCATGGACAAGAATACACAGCTTTTACATTATGTTGTCATTCTCCAAAGTCAATCCCCAAATGACCACACCAGAACACCTCAAAGTTGTGCACAAGACTGTTCCACTTAAAACGATAAAATGTACTTGACTTTTCCTATTTCATCTCTTGCTGCTCCTTAAAGCCTCTAGATGGAAGTCAAGTTACTAAATTTCCTGAAGGAACTCTTCCACAGTACCACAGACTAGTTTTTAAAAAACAAAACCAAAAAACTCCACAACACAATACATGTTAACAAAATTGCAACAGAACTAGAGAACAAAACACACAGAAGTTTCAATTAAGCTTTTTGTTGGAGTGTTAAAAGCTGCATCTAACCTGCAAAACCAGTTTTGCTTCATGTTAAAACAATAATACCTGGCTTCTTTTCCGTGATCACCGATAATCCTGTCATCTCTACCCAGATTTCTGGAAGAAATGCGACCTAACTCCATTTCAAGTTCTTTGTTCAGGCCCTCTAAGCCGTACTTTTTGAAGCAAACACGATGTCGAGAATATCCAGCAAGCTGTTCATCCGCTCCAATTCCTGTAAGCACAACCTAAGGAAACAAAATACAACAAATCCTGGTATCCGTGTGAGTTAATATGTAACAGATATTAAATGTTTAACTACCCCTTTAGGATATTAATTTTAACACACATCCTATAGAGGTGTTACTTATCACAATGGGATCTGCATTCCACATTTACAAAGTCTAAAACAGTTTCCAATAAAGTCACTGGAAACTTGCAATAGGCTCACAATCAGATTCAAAGTACACACAAACATTTCCACTGATGCAAGGAAAAAACTTCAAAATAATGTGCTATGCACCTCAAATACACTAGTATCTTTGAAGAATGTCTTTGTTAGTGTCTATTAGAATAAACAGCATTTGTTAAACACCAGCCTTTGTAAAAAAAATATTTGTTTCCAAAGATTATGTCGTATATTCTAAATAGTTATCTGAATGTACACCCAGATTAATTTACCAGCTACTGGGTTAGTACAGTGCATTACACAAAATAGAAGTGGCTCACAGTCTTCTGTCTGCTCAGTAAGTACGGAAACAGCTGCTACATCTGGCCCATTGCTGTGCCTTCAACAGCAATTCACTATGAAAGTGGAAGCCTTTTAACAGTCAAGTGTGTTTTACTAATCTGATACCAGTTAGTGGCCAAATAATTTTTTACCAACTCAGCAGTACAGAGCTGATGGAAAAATGACACTTTTGCTTTATGTTTTATTAACTCATGGCCCATTTCAACATATTCTGGGCATAAGATGAATTTGTATGTTTTGCAAATCTGAGATGCAGATCCTTAATTAGATGGTTTTAGGATCTAGCAATTATTAGAAAAGTAACAGGAGCCTCAAAAAGCAAAGGTGGCAGTTGGCTTGTAAATTCCTGAAATTAAACAGTTCATTCTTCCCTACGAAAACCATCAGAAATAGGGAAGTGAGAAATCAGAATCCAATTCCCAGGAAAATCACCTAGTTACTAAAAATATTTTACGCAATATTACATCCATGAAGATAAGCTACAAAAAGGAAAGAGCTAGATTTTGTATTTCTGTCACTCAGACTCTAATTACAAAAGATGCCAAGATCTTTTCTGCCTGTGCTATTTGCTATTTTGTCACATCAAGAGCATCCTAAATAAGATATTTTGGCAAGTGGTGGGATGCTGGCACAAGACAATATTACTTAATAATTCACTAACATTTATCACTCCATTTGTTAACACAGTTTGAACCAAATAGCTGGTACCCACTATTGGAACTGAAACACTGAAAATTATAGATGATGGTTATTATTTTTTTCCTCGTCATGTTGTTGCTTATCCAAGTTCACTGGAAAAGCCCTACACATTACATGACAGAAGAACTGAATGCAATTTTTAACTCCAGAATTACAAAAATATTATAATTACAGAACTGTTCTACATTCTGTCAGTGAATTTCAGAAACCTTATGAAGAGCAAAGATCCCTCCTGATTTCTGAATCAACAGAACTGTTTTTACATTCATAAGTTTTATAAATATATGTTTTACAAACATAAGGCAGAAAATAAACAAACACAAAACTCAGTACCTTTGCAGAACTTTTATATGGTTTCAGTTCTCCTTGGTTACTAATAAAGCCCTCCCCTCTGGAAGCAAACCACATTGCACAGCCAATGCTGTCATCCAAGACTGTGTCCAGTGGATAGATGAGGTGATTAATGCGCTGTTCCCTCATCTTTTTCAATTCCTCTAGTGTGACATTAATTTCCACAAAGTTCCAGGTTCTTGAAGGGTTAATGGCTTCTAATTCCTTCAGTCCTGCCCTACCAGTGATTCTGTCAGGAACATCAAAGCAAGATGAATGAGCACCACTTTTAGCATCAAGATCTTGGCAGGTTTCTTGAGGACAAAGCAAATCAAGCTGCACTTCATGGTTGGTACGTTTTTTAGTGGTACCCTTGTGCTTAGCTTGTTCTTTCATCATGAAAGCTACATTGAGAAGATCAACTGGCTCCTCCAAAGGCACGTGTTTATCAGCAAGGGCTGCAATAACCATAGAATCAATGCCACCAGAAAAGAGCACTGCAACACGTGCTTTCTTATGAGACATGCTTGGAACTTCTCTGGTTTCCTGATCTTGGTCTCTAAAGAGACATAAAACTCGTCTCTTGACTGCTTCACTTAAAACATCAATAAACCTACACACTAATTTTTTCTTGTCTTCCTCTGCGAGAAATCCTTGGAGGGTTTCTACAGAAACCTCATGGATAATGTTGCTACTGTTAGTGCCTGTACATTCACCTGAAGCTTCAGCAATTGCTGTATTTAAGGGGATGACTGGCGCTCTGAGGCACAGCTTTGGTTCATTCACCCCAACATGTATGTGGCTTGGCAAATCTTTTGACACTTGGTCAAGGACATTAATGAATGTTTCTTCAGCTGCGTTCTCCGTGTAGCAGTACTTCCATGGAAACAATGTTAAAGACAAAGATTTAGTTGTTGCACAAGCTTTGAGATCAATTTTGAAAATTCCGGATGCTGGGACTTCTTGCCATTGGTTGCCTGGTTCAGAATAACCACTTACAGATGTGAGACAGAAGGCACTGTCAGCCTCATGACTGAACTGCCAAAGCAAACTACGACGGCCAAAATAATCTCTACCAAACCACAAACTGTGTCTAGATGCTTGGTAATAAACGAAAGACCAGGGACCCCTCAGTGATGAAAAGAGTGACAGAATGTCCTCTTCGCTCCTGCATAATGTAAGATGATGAAACATCACTTGAGTGTCATTCTCCAGATCTCCTACATGCACTCCATTGAAAACTTCTCCATTCCAAAGGAAAACATTGTTACTGGCATCTTCTAGAGGCTGAGGAGTCACCAGTCCCCTCAAGTGAAGTACATGGCCAGAAAACAGGCATTTGTAAGAGAGATCTGACACAGTTTTTACCAACTGTTGGCTGCTGTCTGGTCCTCTTCTTCTAAGATGGTGGAGTGTGTGTTCACTTAGGAAATCAGGAATAGAACGCTGGCCACACAAAGTAACAACACAACAAATACCACACATTGTGACACTGAATTCACGTGAACTATTTCTTCATTTTAGCTTTTTCGGCATTTTCCATCTCCTGGTGTGCCTTCTTTAATTCATCTAATGTATCTGTGTAAGAGAGTATTATACAAATAGTCAATTTCATAAACAGAAAAGTTTATATCTAAGAAATAAGTCATTCCAGCCACTTGTTCAATGAAATACTAATTAACCAAAGTGCTGTGTTTGTATTCCATAATTACTAGAGCTCACTGTAGCCTATTCCTCTTTATTACACAAAGTTCATAATTTTTTTTTCTCCCAAAGAAAACCACGTTACCACAGGCCAACTATTGCCTATACAATCAGTATGACTTACACATTTGTAGTAAAGAAAGGGGATTGTTGATTAAAATGTCAACACTATTAACCCAAAACAAAGAAAATGACAGCGGCCATTTCTCAACCCAGAAAATAAAATGTATACATCTAATGTTTCTTCCACCATCACCTCTATTATCCATTCTCCCATCTTCATAATCCAACTGACCCATTCTTTCAACTGAAGATTTCTAGCTTAATCTCCAGTTTAAACTTGTTATTTTCTTTCTCCTCATCCTGTGTAATTTTAATTGTTTTAAGGGACACAGTGCTATACAGCTGCCCAAAGGGCACTGATAATAATGACTCCTCTGTGGAGCAGATGTTCTCCCTCTTTATCTTCAGCACTTGCTCTTTTATCACATCCATAAACCGAGTGAAAACATTTTCACATTTATCCAGTCCAGAAAAACAAGCAGATGTCTGAGGTTTATTTCGTATTTGACATCCAGCTGTCAGATTTTCATTTTAATACACGGTTTTTATATATGCAATCATCTGATTTACTTTTACACTGCAAACTTACTTTTGCATTGAGACAGCGTTTCTGTTCGGTCCGCAAGGAAGAATATGTTGCTGTTGGGTTGCTGCTTATAAACTTTCTGCAAAACAAAAACCAGGCTGCATTAAGTCACAACAACAGACTCTGAACCACACTGCAGCAGAAGCTGCTGTGGGTCTACCAAAACTTCACTTTAATGCCAGAAGTACAAGTTTTGCCCTAACAACACCAACATCCTAATGTTGCACCATCAGAAACATTTAATGATTAACCCATGACTATTCTGCATTTCTCTTTTCTAATTTAAACACATGCACAGAAAAAGTAAGAATACCTCATGAAATCTTCTGATCAACTCAAACATCTCACTGAAATTACTCAGATAAAGCATAAAAAGGCCTAAGACCCACACAACACACTGTGTTACACTGCACAAGGGTACATAACCACATCATTTGCAGGACAAGTTATTCTGAGAACAGCAGACCACATGTGTATTAAAATCTGTATTAAAACAAATTAAAGACAGCATGCTCTGATTTTGTTTCCCCTCTTGTCTCTGTGCTTATTTCTCCTCTAAAATGAAACAGTCAAAAGCAAATTTGTAAATACTTACCCTGTTCTTCTTCAAATTAGAAAGCTCATCTACTACAACCTTCTGCTCTTTAATCTGAAAGGTGAAAGATGCACTTTAATTACTAAAAATGAACCACAATGTTATAATCCCACTGGTGAACATCCTTAATGGTATTTTAAGGCAGCTACATGCATATATAGCTGCTGTTCTCCAAATGAACCACTGAAGACAGAGTAAATATAAAAATGAAAAACTTAAAAGTAACCGCTCTAGAAACAGGTTATCTTGCATGCATTGGTATTTCTCCTCCTCCCAAAAGCCATCATTACTGGGAAGCCAGAGTGCCTCTAGCTATTTATAATCAGAGAGCACATTTTTCTCCCCCAGAGAAGAATATATATACACACGTAATACAACATCAAATAACTTTGGAAAACAAATTTAGCATAATATCAAGAATACACTTTATAATCACAGGTATGCTCCAGATTCGAAATTAAATTAATGAAAATCCAAATACACTAAAACTGTATTAAGAGCAATGGGAGCCTTTCCACTGCTCTGGATTTTTGCATTAATCCCACTTCCTTAGTGGGATTTACCACTCCATGCTGCACTGACAGAGGTGGCAGGTGTTCCCATGTTCTTTTATGACAGCTCCAAATGGTAAAAGGCAATGAGAAGGATTGTCATAAAAGCCAAAAACTGGAACAAAATCTGGTCAGAAGCAAACAATGTGGTTTGTTTTTTCTTTTCCTTTGTGTCTCCTGGAATTGGTGCCACAGTGGGAAGCTGCTGCAGGGAGAGGTTAGCCAAACTGAATGTGGCACACTGAAAGCACAGCTTCTCCAGCAGCTACATCAATGTCTTATATCTACAATACCAACAGGCAAAACAGCACTGCCAACTTCAGCTAAGGACTAAACCATCAACCTGCAGCTCTGTTATGTCCCAGTTTTGTAGCTTCCCAGGCAATCAAAACCACCACTGGCTCTATACATCATGGCCATATAGAAGGCATTTTTTGACAGACTCATAGAATGTTAAGGAGTTGGGATGGGCATTAAAGACCTGCTACTGGCAGGGACCTCCCTCACTAAGCCAGGTTGCTCAGAGCCCTATCCAACACTGGTTTCGAACACTACCAGGGTTGTGGCATCTACAACCTCCATGGGCAGCCTGTGCCAGTGTCTCACCACCTTCACAGTAAAGAATTTCTTCCTAATATCTAACCTAGAGTTTCCCTCTTTCCATTTGTACCCATTACTTCTTGACCTATCACTACAGAGCTTTTTTTTTTGTTCCATGGGGGCTTGATAGATTCCATACTGGGCACCAGGGAAGAGGGAGTGAATTCATGAGGAGCATCAACCTCTGTGTCTGGAATCCCTTGGGACTTTTTGAGCAGATAAAGATGAAGTTGGCACTACACAGAAGCCATATGGGGAAGCTGTATGAGAAGTAGCTGAAGGCACTCGGTCTCTTCAGCCTGAAGGAGACAGAGGGGAGACCCCACTGTAGTTACAAATTCCTTGAGAGAGGAAGAGGAGGGGCAGACCCTGATCTCTGTGGTGACCAGTAACAGGACCCGAGAGCATGGCCTGAAGTTGTGTCAGAGGAGGTTTAGATGGGTATTAGAAAGAGCTTCTTCCCCCCGAGGGTGGCTGGGCACTGAACAGGCTCCCCAGGGCAGCGGTCACAGCACGAAGCCTGACAGAGCTCAAGAAGTGTTTGGATGATACTCTCGGGCCCATGGTGTGACTCTCGGGGATGGTCCTGTGCACGGCCAGGAGCTGGACTCCGATGATCCTTGTGGGACCCCTCCAAACACCCGAGATTCTGTGATTCTATGAGAAAACCCTCACTGCGCCTCACCTGACACTTCAACTTCAGCTCGGAGCAGTGAGACCCAAAGTGACAACCTGAGAAGCTTCCAGCGAGGCGACGCGAGCTGGTTACCCGCGGGGCGCTCCCAGGGCCCGGCACAGAACCCGGGGCACAGCATCCCCAGCAGCCCCCGCCCTGCCCTCCCTCACGCCGCTCGCACCCGGGGCGGCCGGCCCGGCCCGGCCCGGCCCGGCCCGCGCAGGACGGGGCTCACCCGCCGGCTCAGCTCCTCCCTCTGGCGCAGCGCCGCGCTCTCCCCGTCCTCCTGCCGCGGCGGGCGGCCCGACATCCCCGCGGGCGAGCAGCGGGCGCTCACACCCGGTGACACACCGACAGCGGCGACAGCGGCGACAGCCCCACGCGCCCCGAGCCCCCGCCGCCGGTCGCGACAGAGCGCGTGCGCCGCGCAGAGCACCAATCAGCGGGCGCGCCCGAGCACGCGCGCCAGCGCGCGCCGCTGGCGGGATGCCTGAGGGGTCTCGCGCCCCCTTCACCCCCCAAGGGGGATGTCCCCTCGGTCGGGACAGAAACCCACGGGAATAGGGTCACATCGGGACAGGGCCGAATGTGGGGAAGATGTCTGGAATGAGGCTCGGAAACTGCGCCCCTTGTGGAGCGTGAGGGAACACCTGGAAAAGCAAAGGAACGCCCCGGTGTGGTGTGACCACCGAGGGGGCTGCTCTCGGCTCTCAAACAACACCTTTAGGCGGTTTGCTTAAAGGTATTCCAGGGGAGATATGAACGATATATTATTTACAGATATTAACTTCATGTGTTTCATTGTGTTCATCATTAGTATATGTTTCTACAGTGAAGACTGAGAGGGACTTTTTACATGGGTGTGTAGTGACAGGACAAGGGGAATGGCTTCAAACCGACAGAGGGCAGGTTTTGAGTGGATATTACGGGGAAATTCTTCCCTGTGAGGGTGGTGAGGCCCTGGCACGGGTTGCCCAAAGAAGCTGTGGCTGCCCCATCCCTGGCAGTGTTCAAGGCCAGGTTGGACGGGGCTTGGAGCGACCTGGGATAGAGGAAGGTGTCCCTGCCCATGGCAGGGGGATTGAAATGAGATGATCTTTAAGGACCCTTCCAACCCAAACCAGACACATGATTTTATTATTGTATAAGGTGGATGTTTCAGGCCATCCAGCTAGGATGTCTGTCTTTTCCACTCTACTGTGGATGCATCTGTCTTCCTGTCTTTATAAACACATCTTGGGACAAGTTTAAGTGACAGGGTGACAATAGCAGGGCAAATACTATTATCATGATTCACTATCCTAAATAAACTTAGGTTGAGAAGTGGTATCAGCAGCCAATTACTGTGAGCAGAAGGGTTTGAAAGTATCTTCCTGTAGCACCAATGAGGAGTAAAAAAAATAAGTTAAGAAATTGGCTTACTTACAAGAATTACATGTTCTAATCACTAAGTTAATTGGTGAATGAATGCATATCTCAAGAAATCAGAAGTCTGCTAATTTTCACACAAATTAGATTGTAGAGTTGTTAATATCAGGGGCTATCACAGGGGATTTTTGGGTAAGACTTTGTCAAGGTGGCTAATGCAGGAACATTACAGTTGGGGGTTTTGTCTCATTTTTATCCCTTCTTTTTAAACATTGTTGTATAATTATTCTAAACACTCAAGAATAATTCCAAATTTACGGACTGCTACCGGCAGCTCAGTTGTAGGATTTTATGAGATGTCTA